CTTTGAATTTCTGTAACTCTCTGTCAGGTTTAACATGTACTGTCACATGTGGGATGTCATGTCTGGTAGTCTCACATTGTGTATTGTTATTCACAGAAACAGCATTACAATCAGTACTATTCATGTTTACAACACCAGCTGACATCAGCTTTGCTACAATAGATTCACCGATTTGTGCTCCTAACTGTCCTACCATGTCTGTTAGATGATGAATGGCTTCTACATCACTACCAGGGGTGGAAGTATATGGACCCTCCCTCACAGACACTCTAGCAGGGGTATAACCAGGGCTCTGACCCAACCCAGTATCAGCATAACCATCCGGTTTAGCTGTTGAATGTCCCACTTCCCTACTACTAGCAAGGTCACTAAGCCAAGCACCTCTTCCTTTTGGCAAAATAGGACTTGAAAATGAATTTTCCATGTTCACTGTCGAGACTGTTGATCATAAAATGTACTAGCGTTGTGTTTAACTTTTAAATAAAATGAATTAAGCATACATGGAAAGACACTGAGTAATCCACTAAGGACAGGCAATGTAAAACATGAACCCTACAACCACATTCCTTCACAAACTAACCACACAGTAAACTTGAGTGAAGATCAGGATATCTGCACAGCATCCGCGGCGATGAGCATCAAGCTGATCTGACTATCCGGAGGGTCACGGCACCAGTGTAACGGGTCACAACCGTAAGCGACCTGTTATCAATCAGGAAACACAGCGAAGCATCTAGGTGTCTTTTCTGGCGTTTATTCTGAGAACAAAACACAATATTCTCCTTAAATCCACGCTGCACATCCTCCGCAGCACTCACTTCAATGTCTTCTTTAGTATTTATAGATTAAGAAATGAACAAGAAAATCTTATCAAGTAATCACACAAAAATACAAACACAAACATACCTGAGAACAAAACACAATATCCTCCTTAAATCCACGCTGCACATCTTTACAAAAGAAAAGAAAGGAAGGGTTAACATGTAAACAAAGAAAATGACGCAGATCGCGTCTAATTCCCGCCAAAACCACACCACAGATATCACTAAAAAAATACAAATTCCTACGGTGAAAACCAAACAAAAACGGGTCAACAAGGTACCCAAATTAACACTCAACAACACACATCACTTCCATCAACCCAAACAGACGGTCCATCACACAAAACCGCAATGATTTGTAACACCTCTCCCAGCACAGCTTACCCTCCGCAGCACTCACTTCAATGTGAGGGGAAAGAGGCAATGACATACAGGAAATAGAAAAAGATGTGCAACGGGAAAGTGTTCCCACCAGAAACATAACTCAAAAACATCAAAAGTAAACAATCTCATAAAAATAAAATTCACAACCCATTAGAAATCGTAATTTATAACTATATTTATGTCAACACATTTTTAACTCCGTTACACATGGCGGGAGGTGGCAGAGACAGTTGGTGAAACTGGTAGGTTTTCAACTGTTTGGGGAGTTTATATCCAGTTTACTTCGTTGAAGAAGCGGGCTTCGGTGGGTCACATGGATTACGTTGAGGTGTGATGCAGATTGCCGGGCAGATGTGATGTCGTAGTTTTTAGAACTTCGCTCGCACAGACTCCGAACCCTAAAGAGCGCGGTCCGCTGAGTTGTTGGTTAGTCCTTAGAGGGCGGGCGGGGGCCGTATGTT